TTTGATAGTAAGAACACTGTGGTTTGTTTTGTTTTTGTTTTTGAGTAAAGCTCAATTTCAATTTTATTATTTTAAGTAATAGGTAACAATTAAATAGGAAAGGAAGTGTTTTCTTTCTTTTTATGTCAGTTTGATGTACGATATTTAAAAGACTATTTCATCTATACTGTCAGTTTATTTGAGGGAAACATGTTTATAAATGCTATTCTGACACTTTCTAATATTTGGATGTATGAGCACATGAGATGTGTATGGAGGCCCAAGATGGACATTAGGTATGTTCCTACCAATCATATCTCCATTTTATGATTTGAGACAGGGTCTCTCACTGAAACTGGAGCTTGCCATTCTCACTTGACTGGTGACTGCAAGCCTCAGGAATTCTTCTTGTCTTCACTTCGCCAGCACTGGAGTTACAGATGCATGATGCTATGCCCAGCTTTTACATGGGTGCTGGTGACCCAAGCTTATAGCCTCATGCTTGTGTAGCAAGCACTCACTCACTGAGGCACCTTTCTGTGCCTCTTTCTGAAATATGTAAAGTCCATAGTGTTACGCCTTTCTCCATATGATCGTTGATGTGTTTTTTCCTCGTTTTCTGATTTGTCTTCCTTGAAATCTATTACATTTTCTTGTTTCTATACATACTATTTTTATTGTCTTTTTAAAAATAGAATCTTTATTTAGTCTTTGACTGTTCCATACATTGGAAACAACGTAACTTGATCATATCCACCTCCAACTTCCCTCTCCAACTTTCCCCAGGGAGCCCACACCTTGCCCCCACTTTGGTTATCCACTGTGTCCAATCAGTGCTGTGTGTTGAAGTGCTGACAGGCCTTGTTGCCTTGGTCATGTGTGTGGTGGCCATGGCATGTCCAGAAGACAGCATTTCACAGCTCTCCTCCCCATCCTTCAGCTCTTAATTCTTCTGCTCCTCCCCTGTGGCATTCCCTGAGCCTTGGTGGGTGGTTGACATAGAAGTCCCATTTAGGGCTGAGTACCCAGTAGTCACTTATTCTCAGTGCTGCATTAACTTCTGTACACTGTAAAGAGAAGATTCTCTGGCCAAGATTGAGGGCAGTATTAGTTTATGTATGTAAACATAAATATTTAGAAGACAGTTTGACAACATGTCTATTTAGAAAGTTTTTGTCTTTCTTTTTCTGCTGTTGAAAATCTTTATCTAACCTTCCTTTCATGTGATTGTCTTTTCTTTCTCTCTTTTGCATACAGAACATTGTTTCATTGTAACATTTTCAAAGAAAATTTGTTTCATTGATCCTGTACCCTGCTTTTTACCCCTAGCACCCTACCCCTATTTTGATATTTATTTTTTAAACTGTCAAGTTTGACTTAGAACATGTATTTAAACTTTTATCTCCTTATATAGCTGATACTTTCAGTTTTCTTACAGTTTCATTCAGTAAGCTTTCCTGCTTAATCCAAGGACTTTAGATGTATATTTCCTGTTTAATCCAAGGACTTTAGATATGTATTTCCTGTTTAATCCAAGGACCTTAGATGTGTATTTCCTGTTTAATCCAAGGACTTTAGATGTGTATTTCCTGTTTAATCCAAGGACTTTAGATGTGTATTTCCTCTGTAATCCAGTAAAAGAAAAGAAAATTTAAAAGAAAAAAAGCCTCATCATGGAAACTGTAGTGTGGCCCAGTGAGTCACACAGCTTACCCTTTAGTCCATACATCATTACTTACAAGTGTTCATTGCAATGAATCATTAGTCTTGCTTGATAGCTCTGGCTTCTGCTACACTATCAATACTGGGCCCTCACTGGGACTCCTCTTGGATATCCTGTTGTTGCCCTGTGTCATGGAGATCCTGCAGCTTTGGATCTGTAGGACCAGCCCCTTCACATGCTCCAGCAGTTCATAGATGAGGTAGATATTAGAGTGGCCAACTCATAGCTCTAGCCTGGTGTTAGTTGGGTTGGTCAGCCCACCAGCTCTCCCTCATCCTCATCACCAAAGCGAACTCTCCAGCGTTGCCCAGGCTGGCTCACCCAATGCAGTAGGTAGCAAGGAGCAGGGCCAGTTCTCCTGTTCTCACGACCTGGGGTCCAACTCACCTGCACCTGCACTACCTCTCCTATCCTCCTCCTCAGTTTTAATGTCTAGCTTTCTTGCTCTGTAGCTGGAGAATATGCTCTCAAGATTTTGAGTCTTGAGCTCATTGAAGCTTGTCTATGACCTTGCATATGGTCAGTTTTGATAAGTGGTTCATGAATTCTTGAAAATAATATGAATTTTGTCATGATAGGTTGCATTAATGGCAATTTGTCAATTTGGGTTAATGTGTTGTGTGTATTTTCTTCATCCTTATTGATGTTGATGTTCTGTTAGCTATTGAATGATTATATACCACCATGATTGAGCATTTGTTTTTCCCTTTAATTCTGTTCTCTCTCTTTCACACACACATTTGATGCATGCACATTTAAAGTTATCATATGCTCCTGATAGCTTGATTTCTTTATTAATGCCTCATCTTAGTCTTCATAGTGATTATTGCCTCAAAACCTGTTTCATCTGATGTGAGTATACCTACACTAGCAATATTTTTGGCAAGTGCTTGCATGATGTATCTTTGTCTTTTGAATTTTTATTTGTTGGTGGAGAGTGGACATGTCATGATGTGAATGTGGAGGTCGGAGGAAACCTCAGGAGCTGGTTCTCTTCTACTGTGTCGGTCACTGGGATTGAACTCAGGTCATCAGGCTTGAAGCAGGCCCCTTCACCTGCTAAGGTGTCTCGCTGGCTCTGCATGTGTAACTATCAAACTTTCTCATGTTCAGATACTCAAGGTTATTTGGAGAGCAGTAGTTTTTTAATCCAGTCTTATAAGCCTTTTCCAATTGAACTATTTTGCTATTACATATACATAGTGTAACTGTATTTGTATTTTATCTTATTGTTTATGCTCTCTATGCCCCATTTGTTTTGCTTTCATTTGATTTTCTTCCTTCCTTTTAGTTGAAAATTTTGCGGTTGATTTTTCTTTCTCCTAGCTTGTTTTACTTCTGTGTTATCTTATCCTTCAATGATAACTTAGAAAATACAACAGGCATCCTTACCACTGTCTAGTAAAACTATCATTATGATTTCTTTCTCAGTAGCAGAAGGAACTGAAAACACTTTAAGTCTTGTTCTTTTTTGTCTTTTGTGTTATCCTGCCATAACTTTATCATACACAATTTTTCAACCCAACAAGATATTATCAATATTGTATAGCATTAGTGTCTATTTTTATATATTCACAGAGTACTTCTTTTAATGTTGGTTGCTTGTTCTAGCCTTGTTTGTTTCTGCCCAGGATCTCATTTTTCTTTATTAGAAGAACTTCCTTCCAGAACGTGTTAAGTGCATTCCAGCTGGCAAGGAACACTCTATTTTTATTTTTCTAAAAATGTCATTATTTTATATTTATTTGAAGAAATTTATCATCGTGGATGCTGAAAAATCTAACTATATTAAAATTCCTATATAAGATACCATTTAATACTCTTATAGGTGGACACAGAATAGATTGAGTTTCAAATACTTTCTTATTTACAGGATTTATGCTGACATCGGTGCTCTGGTCAGGTCTGTGCAATTGTTTCTAGTACTGTCTTTCTTTCTAATTGAAATAATAGAGGGTTTGGAAGGAAAATGCTTTAATTCAAGAGTCAGTTCTACCGTTTACTACTGTGTGACCTTGACCAAGACCCTTAGCTTCTCAGAGCCAATTTCCTTGTCTACATTGGCTCCATTTCACTGGGGAAGTCTGAGTCCCTGTTGTGATATACATGAAAGTGCTTTGTAATCAGCCAGAAAGCTTTAGTGTTACTGTTGCTTACTGGAACAGAAACATCTTCAGTGTGCGCATTCAGAATCCTCTTGCATGGTGCACTTCCATAAGAAACCATGGAATAAATTCTATGTTCATGTGCTTATTTATATATACTCTCCCCTTACTAAATGCTGTGTCCAAAGTTATATAACATATAGCTTATAAACACTCTATCACAAACTCATTTGTTTTTCATCTTTCAAGTAACCACTATGAAAAGGGGAATCTGGCTGTTACATAATTCACAATGCCCCTAAGATAAAAATAGCCTATTGTTTCTTAATACTGAGCTCAGGGAAGACTTTAACGTTCATTGTCTTTATAATGTGGAACCATTAAGAGCATGTTTCTGCCAGCTCAGAAGGTACCAGTTGGCATGGTTAACCCACCTTGGTGTCGGGCTGATCTCTGATTTTGATCTTCTGTCTCATGATCCCCCAGGGAGGGTTATACATTTTAATGTGAGCTGCAAATAGTTTCTCTCCCTTTCTACTTGCAAATGGATTCTATTCAGAAAACTAATAAATAATGGCAGCCTCCTTTTCAACATGCACAGTACACACAGAGGGCAGGTCAGGCTGATAAATTAAAATTTCATTCTGCATACGTAACTTAAAACACTACCTTAGGCAGGTAATATGTAGCCTCATTTTGTTTTTCTTTCATAGAAGCTAATTTGAAAATTCCTGGCTATATTAATCAAATTTTAGACTCTTCACTCTGTGCAGACATCTTGCTGTTGGACTGTTTATTTTTCCTTTGGAAAAAGTAGTGTTCAGATTTCTCCCTGTACTTCATCCTTTGATGGGTCTTGGATTTGTGTGCTGCATGCCTCCATGCATATGAGTGTGCCTGTGTGTGTGTGTGTGTGTGTGTGTGTGTGTGTGTGTGTGTGTATGTGTGTGTGTGTGTATGTGTGTGTGTGTCCCTGTCTGTCTATTTGTCTGTCTGTCTTTTGGATCTAGGTTTTTCTTGGCAAATATGTCGTCTATAAACAAACTCAAATGGATGTTGATGCATTGCAACTAATGCCCCAGTGTCTCTGAGGTTTTTATTTATTTATTTATTTATTTATTTATTTTGATGATGGACACATTTTCCATGGGACATTTGTTCTTTGTTTAAATGTTTTGATTTTTTGTCTACAGGTCGCTGGCATGCATTTTATATGAGATGTGTTGCATGGATCATGCATTTGCTGGTTCCAGTTTCTTGTCTGTAGTTTTCAATATTGTTGAAGGCGACACACCTTCACTCCCCGAGAGATACCCACGAGAACTAAACACCGTCATGGAATGGTATGGAAGCGAGTCTGAAAAAGACCATTTGAAGTTTCGTTCCTATATTTAAAATGAACTTAGGTTTTTATTCATTTGAAAAATAATTTTCTTTTTGAATATTACAGCATGTTGAACAAGAGTCCTTCACTGAGACCATCTGCTGTAGAAGTTTTAAAAGTCCCTTACATCGACGAGCAGCTTCAGGTACTGGAAATTTGAGTGGTATCACGGCTAACATTCTGTGCCCTGAGGTTTTGCTGTGGGACTGAGAGGTGGTTAAGAATCAGCCAGAAAGGAGGAAAGCAAGATTTAAGTGAAGCCAAGAGGAACACTAGGAAAATCTCTTCGCAAAGGAGGCTACACAAACTGGTTACCTGATGCCACCAGACATGAGAAGTCAGAGCTTTAATTTTCTGCCTAAAACCCTTATTATCCACCCAATGTCCCTGAGATTGGCAGATCTCATCTGAACACTTTGAACTCCGTCCCTGTTGGTACAAGAATGTACTCTAGTAGTTCGGAAATCTGGGATTTTCACTGAGCTGTTATTGTTCCCTCCTTTAGGTCATGACTTAGCATATTTAGTTGGCTCGGTGTTTCTTTTCTTTTCCTTTGCATTAGAGAGCTTGATTAGACAGAGGACCTGCCTGGGGTGTAAGAAGCAAACTGTCCTCTCCAAGGCTTTTCCTTTTTTAATGGACCTCTCAGGCTTTAGCTAACCCCTCAGCAACTCTAGCAGGAACCACCAGGTCTTGTTAACAAGTGCCTGCTTTTCACCAGTGGACGAAGATCTAAATCCAGAGGATGGAAAGACAGGAACGAGGTGTGCTCAGCCAGGAGGCACAGTGTCTCACCTCGGGGAGACTGGAGGGAGAGGACCGGGCATGGCCGGTTCTGCTGAACTTTGACTGCTGTAGTAAGAGTTCAGTAGCCAAAGGAAAAGTAGGAAACATGAAAATTCTAGCAAGAACAAAGAGGAAAGGAGGCTGGTGCTGGAAAAAAGAATAAGAGAGAGAGAGGGGCTCCTTGGTAGTCAGAGGAGTAATGCCGTCTTAACACTGGAAGGAGGCAGCCATGGAAGCAGTCTAGGAAGGAGGCTTGAAGAGGCTCAGATGCCCCGGAACTAGAGTTACAGACATTTACGATGTGCCATGTGGGTGCAGGAAAACAAACCAGTGCCCTGGAAGGGCAGCCAGTGCTTGGAACTGCCGAGCCATCTCTCAAGGTCTGCAGTATCTCAAAATCAATGTCTCCTTGATAGCAAAATAGAAAAATTTAAAGACAAACTCCGACAAGGCCAGGATTAGTGAGATGCAAGCGGAGTGTAGTTGCTCAGGTGCAGGGTTGGATCTTGTCTGTTAATGTTTGGAATTACATTCTTCATGGGTTTGGGCGTTGATTTTGATTTTACAGATGATGCTGTGTATTAAGGAAGCACCTCCCCTGCTTGCTGAGGTCTGGGTTACACCCTTAGCTAAGGGTCTCATTTGCCTAATGTCCATTTTATCGGGGGTGGGGTGGACATTGTCTACTAAAGGCTGAGGGGTGGGTGTTCCTAGAGCGGAGGGAAGGCCTGTTGGTGGTGGGGAATGAGTGAAGAGGGAGAAACAGAGCAAGGTGAAGTTAGAGAGGAAGGCAGGAGCTACTTCCGGGGAATCTTCTCACAACCTGATATAATCTTATTTAATCCTTTGAAGAGAGAAGAACCAGCTACTGTGAGTTTTATCTTAAAGTGCTTTGCCATGGTCAGGAAGAGCGCCAGTCAGAAAGGCACATGGCACCTTCCCGCCCTTCCATTGCTGACAAAGGACCTTTAAGATCACAGTGGATTTCTTTTATTTCAGCACCTGATGTGTAAATATTCAGAAATGACGCTGGAAGACAAGAACTCAGTTTGTCAGAAGGATGCTGTTCATATAATTAATGCCATGTAAGTAATTGCTTTGTTTTTAAAAAGCCCATCCCGTGGAAATGCTAAGTGCATCGGTCTTTAAAAACCTATTAGTGCTAAGCTGACTACGTGGGGCATCCTCAATTTCACTTAAGTCTTGCCAAGAAATTAAGAAGCTTCGGTAATGTGGCATTCCAAAACCATCTGCCCCAGGTGGTAGCAGGCTGAAATCCTGAGTGTCTAAACTTCTGCACAGCTCACAGATCTGTAGGGCTGCACAGCAGTTGATATGCGTGCATAGAGAAATGAGTATCTCAGACATTTAGGAATGTTTATGCTAATGAGCCTTTAATCAGAAACCTAAATGGCTTCATACAGTGTTTGTTTAACTGACAGAGTATGTATCTACCGAAAGAAAGTGTTGTAGGCATTTGGGGAAAAAAAAGCCAAAATTCACTTTCTTCACATATTATACACCCTCTTAAAAAAAAAGATAAGAGAAAGTGCATTTCCAAAAGAACAACAATAATCTCTTTTTTCTCATTCAAGAAATGATTTTGCTTTGACTTGTAAAAGCCCAAATGGTGGGAAGTTCCAGAACAGCACTGTCCACCTGTGTGACAGTGAACTGCATACGCCAGGGGACCTTGCTTCTTAAAGACTCAATCTATGACTTGTTGATGGGATGCTATTTAATTTTATAAGGACCCAAAGACAATGGTTCCACCTCCCCAGTGCTGTGCAGAGCAGTGGTGTGAGAACAGGAACTCCCAGGCTGACCTTCAAGCCAAATAGCCAGGAATTCTCTTGCTCTCTGCTGATATACCCCAGTGCAGATACTGTCCTCTGACACACCCCAGTGAGACACTCTCTTCTGACACACCTCAGTGCAGACACTCTCCTCTGACACACCCCAGTGCAGACACTCTCTTTTGACACACCCCAGTGCAGACACTGTCCTCTGACACACACCCCAGTAGTTTCTCAACTGTGTCTTATTTGATTTCCCAGCCTCACATTCAACCTAAACAAATAGGCACCTGGAAGAGATCCCTTGCGGTAAATTTATAGACATGGTTCTAATATGATTATTTTCTTGTGTTGCTAACCATTCTTTCAAGCAAGTCTAAGTTTTATTTTTGTTTATTAGAAATGTGAGAGTAGAGGTTATCATATTTTTAAAATTGTAAGTTAGTGTAGCTATCACTTTGCACAATAGTTGTGGAACAGTTACCTGTCACACTTTACAATCAATGGTGTGCTGGAATTCAGTTGTTTGGAGGGCATTTCACACTATAAAATATTGATTCCAACTAGTCCCCTTTAAGATCTGTGACTATGTTTCAGGGAAAGTCCATTGAGTCATGAAACAAAGGGGTGCATATTCCTGAAAATTGTCCCTTCCTGGGACACTCTGGTCTGTATAATATTTAATTTCTCACAGTATTTCTTAAGGAAGAAGCTGAGGGCAAAGAGCCTTCTGAAGTATTTGTCCCTAACAAAGTCAGGAATGGGAGGAGGGGTCACTGGGAACGGAGCCACAGGCCTTGCCATCCTTGTTTAGTGTAAGCAGTTTCTGCAACTGAACAAAAAGAGATTCTTCAGTAAATGAAGGATACCCCTATAAAGTAGGTGCTACTGTTCTCTTTTATAGTTACACAGAGACTCCATCACCTCCAAAAGACATGCAGAGTATAACCTGGGAGCTAGGTGTTGAGCCCAAGGAGTGTTACTATCCTTCACCATTACCCACTGGACCGTACTACCATAAAATACCTATTAGAGTTAGCCCAGAATATAAGCCGTTCAAGAAAATACAGTTGGTATAATACCACCGTTGGACACTGTGCATACATTATCTCATGTGATACTCACTGTAGCCCACTTTTTACAGAGGAGGAAACCTGGATTCACTTTCTGGCTACAGAAAGAATGGGTGTTGGAGGTAGAATTCGCCGCTTTTCCAAAGACCGTGACCTAATAGTACACGTAGATGAGTTACTCTGGTAGCCTATTTACTCTCTGACGGCCAAGATCCCAATTTGTCTTACATTATAAAAACCAGCCATAGGCAATGAAATGAGCAGAAATTTGGAAAGTACACAGTTTGCTTTTAAGCAGAAATCTAATTTGAAAAATAATGCTGATTAACTCTAGTCCTTGTTGGCTCATTACCCACTCGGAGTTTATTAGATTTTCCTGGCCTGCCTCGAGACGCTGTTGCTCTCTCCATAGAGCAATGATACTTCTGTAAAATATTTGTTTAATTTTTTTTTCTGAGCATGTTTGGTATGAGTTACATGTTGGGGAATGTTTATTACTTATAGGCAGAGAAAGATTCACCTGCAGACTCTGCAAGCCCTGTCTGAAGTGTAGAAAATGACTCTGAGAGAAAGGATGCGGCTGAGGAAGCCGCAGGCAGCTGATGAGAAAGCCAGGACGCTGGAGTGAGCTGCCTTTCCTTGGGCTGCCCCGTGCCCTGCTCTGCCTAACAGTGCTGTCAAAGACCTCACTCGAGGAAGGCAAAAGCCGGAACCAAAGCACATATGATCACTTGTTTATTCACTCACCTGTTCCCCCAAACAAGATCACTGAGCCATAGATTGGATGTCAGGGGCTATTTACATCAGGTTTTCAGTCCTGTGCGAAGCAAAGATGGAAAGGTAGGGAGGTTACCAGTGACGAAAATGTGCTCAGGCTCTAAATGAAACCTCATTGCTGCTGACACTTGGACCTGTCCCATCAAGGAGCTGAACAGACAGCTTAATATTTGACTCTGTATTAGTTACTTTTCCCACTGCTGTGGTAAAGTACCCTTGTTACCACTTCCACTCCACCCCAGTGCTCACATACTCCTTGATATGTAGTCCATTGTTCTTGTTCATGGGCTCGCTCATCAACATTGGGGTATCAGCGTCTTCACAGTCAGGATGCTCAGGGGTGAGTGTTATCTTCTCATGATATCCCAGGAGTTCCAGAGTTGACTAAGGAGCCATAGTTTCCTTGTGTGTGCTTTGAAAGAAGATCACTTAAATTTACAAAGAGAATCATTTGAGGGTCTGCACCATGAGGGACAGACATGATGGCCTGGCTTCCTGATAACCTGGTCTGCTGTTAAAACAGAGATTGTGCTTATTTGTATACTATAGATATGAACTAAGCAATTTGTATTGATTTTTATACATTCATATTAAATTTACAGAAAGATTGTGGAAGAAAAATATAAAGAAAATAACAAATGGATGCAGGAATCGAGATTCCAGGATTTTGAACATCCAAGCGTCAATGTGCTCCATGTAAGCACCCCTGTTTCATGTTTACATGGAGTGTTTCCTTGCTTTGGGTCCCTCAGATTCATCAGGCTAAATGTGTAGGAAAAGAGTAGAAAATGAAACACTCAGAACAACTTGGCCCAACTCCAGGCAGGGTTCTGCAAGTGAGCCAACAGCTTGTGGCCACCCTGATTCAAAGCAGCTCACATCTGGAAGTGGACCAGTTGATTCAGCCATCACATAAGGAGTGGCTGCTGTTTACAAGATAACTGAATTGTCACCGAATGCAGAGATTATGGTTAAGATTATTAATTAATAGATTAATTAAATATACACACATCTGATTTTCACTTCTATCCTTTGTGTTTTGCCACTCTAGTCTGTCAATCTCTCTTTGCTTTTTATTTTTTAAACTTTTATTTTCTGTCTCCTATCCATATCATCATGCACTGTGATAATAACTTCACTCAAACTGAAGAACTACCACAGATATCTGATAATGAATAAATAGAGTTGCAGGACCCCTCCTTCTGTTCTTCTGTATTTGAAATCTCTGAGTGGCAAATACTATTTTCATCCATGGTTGAGAATATCTTTCTGGCCTTGGTAGTAGGATCTGATACCAAGGTAGTCTATGTGAGGGGTCATTTGGGGCAGTTGACATCAACATCAACCTCATACCTCTTCTGATAAAAGCACATTGGGGTAGAAAATGTTTACAATGTTCATCCAGAGATCTCTGCATCTGAGATCCTTTCCTTGAACAGAGAGAAAGAACCAAGCCTTGTTACTGTCGAACAATGCCTCGAACCTCAGTGTTGCCAGTTTTGTGACTTAGCTTAGTCACTCCAGGCTTGCAAACCCTGGGCCCTGCAGAAGCCTGAGCAAATCTTTCTCTTAGAAGAGCAAGGCCTAGGAACACTTGTTTTCTGTCCCTCTCTGAGCAAGACAAGGCTCATCTATCTTCCTCAAGTGCTTAGAAGATCAGATAATCCAAAGTTGGATCCCACAGTAGATCTAGCCTTCTCTATGACCTTATGGGTCTCTTAAGGGTTCTGCTTAGTGAGCTTGTCAACAGGCACTTACGAGTGCTGGTGATAAGTACTCAATCCTACCCTGCATTCCACCTTTCTGGTACCCCCATTTTTAGTGAAGCCATTTGTGGCATCTGCTACTTGGTCTCAGAGACTTGGGAAACTATGAGAGAGGTCTTTCCTGCTCATGGACACTGACAAGTAGAGAATTGCTGGCTGAAAGGACATGGGGTCAGCAACAGGATCAGGTCTCAACCAAGAAAAAAGTCTTGATGCCACCAGTATGGAATAACTCACGCCCTCAGGAAAACTGGGTGCCTTGTTTCAGCACCCAGACACTCCTAGCACTGTGAAGGTGGCCTATGACAGTAGGTCTTTGTCCCTGCCTATGCTTTGTCCACTCAAGACTGAAAACCAAGCATTCTCAAAGATCTAGACAAGGACGCTGACAGGATTATGAAGGTTCTGTGAATGTGTGTTAACTATTTGTTCAGTCACCAAAATAAACTGGGGTGTTTATTTCTGGAATGCCAGGAACCCTTGAGATCAGAGAGATCTCTTTGCTAAGACTGGAGCTTGAGAACTAGATATGGTCCTTTTTTTTTTTTTTGTATTATGAAGCCTAAGTGACCTCCCTCCCTCCTCCTTCCTTTCCTTCTTTCCTCTCTCTCTTTCTTCTTTCCTTCCTTCCAGACAGGGTCTTACTGTGTGGCCCAGACTGGCCTTAAACTCACGAGCCTCCTGCCTCAGCCTCTCAAATGCTGAGATTATAGGCATGTAAAGCCACACCAAGCTCTGTTTTTGTTTTGAAGTTATCATATGGCAAATAAAAAGTAAGGTCTTATGTATTAGTAACTGATAATCTACATTACCTCTTTACTTTTCTTCTTTGACCCTTTAAGATAATCATCTTTGTGTCTGATGTAATTATTACCAGTAGTGTGAGCGAGCGAGCATGCTGTATGACACATGGAGTTATTGAACAATTGTGAAAGCCAAAGCCTTTTGGGAACCTCTGCAAACTGGGGTATTAGGGTAATAAAGATAACCTCAAGACTTCATGCCAGGCAGAGCCTGACGAGATTTTGTTATCCATATGTTATCACACATGGAGCCAGAGAAACGGTCTTTATTTTGGCCCAGCTCAGATTAAGAAAGAGGTTTTTGTTTGTTTGTTTGTTTTGTATTATGTATTTTTTTGTATCTTGATGCTGGGACAAAGTGCCTGACAAAAGCGACTTAAGAAAGGGGTTTGCTGTGGGGAGAGTTTTGGGAACTCATAATTTGAAAGGACAGTCCACAGTGGCCGAGAAGTTGCAATGGCAAGGACATTGTATCTGCACTCAGGAAGCAGGAAGAGATGAATGCCATTACCCCGCTTGTAGCTTAAGTTTTCCCGCCTGGCCCACAGTCAGGACAAATCTCTCTCACCTGCCAGTCCCACAGCCGTCAGACCCAACCAAGTAAACACAGAGACTTATATTGCTTACAAACTGTACGGCCGTGGCAGGCTTCTTGCTAACTGTTCTTACAGCTTAAATTAATCCATTTCCATTAATCTATACCTTGCCACATGGCTCGTGGCTTACCGGCATCTTCACATGCTGTTTCTCATCATGGCGGCTGGCAGTGTCTCTCTGACTCAGCCTTCCACTTCCCAGCTTTATTCTCCTCCTTGTCCCGCCTACACTTCCTGCCTAGCCAATGGCCAATCAGTGTTTTATTTATTGACCAATCAGCAACACATTTGCCATACAGAACATCCCACAGCACCCGCTGGCTCCCTCCTTCCTTTCAGCCTAGGACCCCAGCCAGCCAGCGGGCTGATGCTGCCCACATTCAGAGTAGGTCATCTTCTCCAGTTCAGCTTTTCTGCAAACACTTGCACAGACAAACCCAGAAATGAGTTCCCATAGTGATTCTAAATCTTGTCCAGTGGACAAGTAAGATTGATCATTATGCTTTCCTTCCTCTCAGCAAGTAGTGTGTGTGTGTGTGTGTGTGTGTGTGTGTGTGTGTGTGTGTGTGTGTGTGCACAATCCTGTCCTGGCTAAAGATTTGGGTTCATTCTTTGAGTTTTCCGAGGTTTAGTATCCACTGTCTCTGGTCCTGAACTTTTCAGAAACGTTTCCTAAGTTTGTATATGAATAGGAGCATTGTTAGTGTAGCCACATAAGAACAACAGGTGATTCATTGTTTCCTGAGTTGTGTGTGGACAGGAGCATTGTTAGCATGGCCACAAAAGAACAACAGGTGATCCATTGTTTCCTGAGTTTGTATGTGGATAGGAGCATTGTTAGCATGGTCACATAAGAACAATAGGTGATCCATTGTTAGTGCCCTTCTGTCTTTCAGAGGCCACTTTGTCTTCAGGAAAACCTCTGACCTCTTATGTCCACAACCAGCTGTCTCTCTTCTAAATTCTGTGACTTAAATTCTGTGGCTTATCTAAATTCTGTGACTCAAATTCTGTGGCTTGTGGGACACTTCTCAATCTTCAGATGTGCCAGAGCATCCTGTATCTCTTGATTCTGATTCTGTTGGTGTGGGGCAGGGCCTGGGCCATCAGATTTCTAGTAAGCTTCCCTTTGCTTCTGATGTTGCTGACCAAGAATTACATCCCATTAACCGGGGCAGAAAGGGGGGGTGCCTGAACATGACCATCCCCCTCTAGATGAAGGAAGAGCTTAAAATGACACCAATGAACAGATCTCTTATCTTTTTAGAGGAAAAAAATCATTTAATGGGAATGGAAGAAAAGGAGGTGTGACCTGAGGGGAAGGCTTTCTTGTTCACCCCAGGAGGAGGAGGGAGAGGTGCAGCCAGGCAGGTTTAATCATACTCAGAGGCACAAGAGGGAGACGGCTTAATGATATTCACAGAACAAAGGAAGAAGCTAAACACTTTGCAGAGGCCTGAAGGGTTTTCATCATCCCAGGGAAAGGCATTGTTGAGCTAAAAAAGATGAAATAAAATATGACAGAAACTGGATTAATCAGATGCAGGAGATTGAAGGAAAATTCGATAAAGGAAAAATGCACCTGTCTTTGTATTTCCTTGCCCCCTCTTCTCCATATGTTGATGGCTTCATTTCTTCCTAATCTCATTGAAGCTCTGCTCTCAAATTCTTCTTCTTTCTCTCTTGCCAGGCTGGAACAAACTCTTCTGTGCTTCATTGTGGAAAGTGTGTTTGTTGGACGTTCATTTGTGAGAATGCATGTGAAGAACAGAGATGGATACTGGGCTCCCTCTCTATTCCTCTCTACCTTATTTTGTGAGATAATAATGTCTTTCACTCAATCTAGAGCTCATTAACCATGCTATGCTGGCTGGCCAGCAAGCCCTGGAGAACTTACTGTCTCTACCTCTTCAGCTCTGGGATTAACATCTGCCTTTTTTTTTTTTTTTTAAATAGATGCTAGGGATCTGAATTCAGGTCCTCATGCAAGCACTTAGCCAACTGAGCCATGTCTCCAGAACCCCCTTCATGTATTTCAGAAGAAGTTGTAGGAGGGAGAGTTTTGAGAGTGAATGGAGCCAATTTGTCATATGTTATGAAAATTCTTTGAGGGATTTAGGAGAGTGGCTTGATTTGTTCTTAGACTTTAATTGACAGTGTCTTTATTTTGGCAGGCATTTTCTGCTTGGCTGAATTTGAGTTTTGAAATCTTGAAGCACAGTTGAGTGTGGAATCATGTTTGACTCCATTTCTTAAGAGGATGGTAGCTTAAAAAAAACAACCAACCAACACAATACAGAAGGCAAGCCCAGGCTGTCCTTTTTCCTGTGGCGTGTCCAGCTGTGCTGGTGTTGGGCTGCTATGAAAAGTACCCAGCAGACCAGGGCTCCAGTGTGTGCTGGGAACAGGGGTCAAAGATCAGACCAGTGCTTCTCTTTCTAAGAGAGGCAGCTACAGCAGCCCTGTCCTCTTCGAAGAGAACCTCAGTGAGTCACAGTCATTTGAGAGTCCGAGAGCTTCTTTTCAAGTGCCTTCTGAAGCACATGCAGCAATGGTCTCTTGCAGTCTCCTTGTTCTTTGGGTTCTCCGTGTACCATCATCGACCCTGTGCAATCTGATCCAGCTGGACCTCCTTAAACAATTATCACAGTACAGAAAGCAGACTCCTTAGCAATACTTCCTGAGTGCATTCTCACAAATGCCTTGCTGTGGTGGGGCATGGCTTCATTTGACTTTCTCATTTAATACTACTTTAGACTTTCCCTTAAATTTCTTTCTTTTTTTTTAAAAAAAATATTTTTGGTTTTTCAAGACAGGGTTTCTCTTTGTAGCTTTGGAGCCTGTTCTGGAACTCACTCTGTAGACCAGGTTGGCCTTGAATTCACAGAGACCTGCCTGCCTCTGCCTCCCAAGTGCTGAGATTAAAGGCATGTGCCACCACCACCTGGCTTTAATTTCTTTTTTTTTTTTTTTCGAGACAGGGTTTCTCTGTGTAGCTTTGCGCCTTTCCTGGATCTCGCGCTGTAGACCAGGCTGGCCTCGAACTCACAGAGATCCGCCTGGCTCTGCCTCCCGAGTGCTGGGATTAAAGGCGTGCGCCACCACCACCCGGCGCTTTAATTTCTTTCTTAACAAAAGGCTTTCTTGGAATAGTTACCACCATGAGAGCTGCTTATCAGAGGAAATAAGACAATTCAGTATTAGATTTAGTTTGCAAACTCACACACACATGTAAAAAAAGCAAAATAAAAATGACCTTCCCATTAATATATTTGGGCACTTTACCTTTTATTTTCATTATTTAGTTACTTTTGTTTGGTTGAAGTAGCATCTCATGTTTCACAGGCTCACTTCAAACTCACTGTTTAGTCCAGTGTGACTTAATGCTCCTGCCTCCACCTCTGTGGTCGTTTGAATGAGAGTGCTCCCCCCACCCCCAGGCTCATATATTTGAATGCTTTAGTCACCAGAGAGTGGAACAGTTTGAGAAAGATTAGAAGGATTAGTAGGTGTGGCCTTGCTGGAGTAGTAGTGACTGTATTGAAGGAACTGTGTTGCTGGGAGTGGACTTTGAGGTTTCAAAAGCCCATGCCAGGCCCATTCTCTCTGTCTCTCTGTCTCTCTATCCCTCTGTCTCTCTCTCTGCCTGCTGCCTGCAGATCAAGATGTAAAGCTCTCAGTTACTGCTCCATTGTCTTGTCTGTCTGCTTCCTGCCATGATGATCATGGACTAACCCTCTAAAACTGTAAGCAAGCCCCTAATTAATTTTTAAAAAAATAAGAGTTGCCTTGGTCATGGTGTCTCTTCCTGGTAATAGGGCAGTAGCTAGACAGCTTCTCTAGCTAGAACTTCAGGCATGTGTCACCCTACCTGATTTTTGTGGTGCTGGGAATTAAGAATAGGACTTCTTTTATTCCAGGGAAGCATTCTACCAACCAACATACATGTCCAACCTTACCTTTTATGTTTTTGAAGAGTGAATCCCTTCATAATTTCTTAGATATTTGTCTTTTAGGAAATTGAAAATTTTAGACTCTCAAGACTTGTAAATCCAGATGAGACCTGGAAGTCATCAAGTCAACACTTTTAGTTTTGAAATGAAACTGAGAATGGATGGGATAAGGATAAGTTAGGTGGGATACAGTGGGTGCACATTGGAGAGATACTTGCTTCTAGCTGCTGTTGGAGCCTATACTTGCCTGAGCATTTGACTTGACTCCCTGGGTATATTGTTTGGCTCGCCTAGCTCTGGCCTAGAAGTTGATTTCTACAGAGGCTAAATGCTTTGCCCAAGGTCACTGTCTGGTTCAGGACTGTTTCTCTTATGCCAAGTTACCAACCCAAAGTTTGAAAATGCTATCAGGCTTAAGGGAGAAGAATGTTGCCTCATTTGTGGCAAGGCCATTTCCTTCTGTCCACTTCTCATGATTTGTTAATTCCCTTCCACAAGGAATTAGATGAACGGACTTCAGAGAACCTGCCTGAGCCTCGTTCCCTTCCTTCCCTGGACCTCAATGAAGTTGAGCCAAGTTTAGACGACACCATAGTTGGCCTTGGACATTATGGTATGTGTTTGTGTCACCTGTCAGCAGGGTGCTTATCTGGTCTCTGAGAGAAGCCCTGGGTGTATGTGACTACCTGCCATTGCTATTCAGAGTTGGGCTGTGATGCTCCGTCTGTCCTCTCTGTCTTCATGGCAATAGTGAAGATGAGTCAGAAACTCACTTCTGGTGAGAGACTTCTTCTGACTGGGTTAAACAATGCTGTCATTAACCTGATTAACAATTCCCCAAAGTTCTACTCCCTTCTTTCATGAATGACTCCCCTGCTCCTCTGGCACATTTAAATTGAAGGCATGAACCAACTTTGCAAGATCCACAATTCAGATGTGCAAAACTTGCCAGAAAGTAAGAGTGTTCGGAGCTGTTATCCTGCTGGAGGTGCTGCATGCCATCTAGAGAGAAAGGCCTTGACTACCAGGCTTTCTGGGTCTTCCCTATCTTATCCATAGAACAGGAATAATGATCCCTCCTTTCATGACTATTATCAAGAGAAAACAAGATTGGGTATGGATGTTCTCTTAGCTTCGTGCCTAGCACAGTAAGAGCTGAAAAAAGAAGCAGTTACAGAAAGGCCATCCCACAGCACTTCCCCTTTTCTGTTTAATCTAAAAGGAAGGTAAGCCTTTTTGTTGAATATGTGTTGCTACTATTGGTTAATAAAGAAGTTGTTTTGGCCTACGGTAAGACAGGATAAGAGCCAGGTGGAAATCCAGGAGAGATAAAGGGAGAAGAGGGTGGAGTCAGGATAGACGTGATCCAGCTACCCAAGGAGCAGCAAGATGCCAGCAGACTGGTAATGCCACAGCCATGTGGCAACACATAGATGAATAGAAATGGATTAATTTAAGTTGTAATAGCTAGCTAGCAATAAGCCTAAGCCATTAACCAAACAGTTTGTAATTAAAAAAAGAAGCAGTTACAACACTTTGAGGATCCTTTGAATGCAAGAGTCTCCTTGGTCTTGGTCGAAGTATCCCTCTTGCCTAGAATAACACACCAGGGATATTATAGTCAGTACTTCTTGAATGAATGAATGTATTAATTAATGAGTAGATGAAGAAGTGAATGAATGATACACTAGTTTAGACCCTTAAGAAACAAATGACAGGGCAAAAATTAAAAAAATGCATAACTTTTTTTTTTTTTTGGAAAATACTTGCATGAAAGGAAAAAGCTTGGAGAGTAGGGCAGAACCAGTGGGCCACAATCCAAATCTTATGCACACAGGAAGAGGGCATGCCCAGGGGAAGATGCCCAGAAGTCCGACCTAGGTCAGCTGTTGGGTGCCTGCCTAGTCTCACTGTTGTAAGTTAGCAGCATCTGCCAGCAGGAGTGGTGGCTTCTGAGAGAATGGGGGATGGTTCCAAGCACAGCGCTGAGTCCCTCTGTCACTCGCTCTCCCTGTAGCTGTGTCTGCCAGGCTTCTCCTTCTGGCACACAATAGCAGGGTATGTCCTTAATGCCTGGGTTACAATGTTGTAAACTCTTTGGGTAGGGAAACTGGAGGTGGTACATGAAAACTCTTTTCACTAATTGAACAGTAAAGAAGTGAAATTTGGGTTGTGTCTTCATCTCAGCCCAAATTTGCACTTGAGGTCTCCTGAACTAGTAGAGTATGGATCACCTCCTTCAGCTGTTCGGAGACTAGCACCTAAAGCTCTTTAAGCTACCAACTGCTGAGTTCAAAGTGATGCTGTGAATGCCATCGTACACTATTCATGATGACAAGGAAATGTTTATATCAGGTGGATTTGTGATATTTTTCTATTGTATTCTTTGTTTCCATTTGAGAAAAGTGGCAGAATCAAGTGTTGCAAGGGTTTCCATGAGTAGGAAGCTGAGAAAGTTAGATCTTGTGTAGCCGCTGATGTAGGTGAGGTAATGCTGGATGGCAGAGTCGTTGCTGTGAATAGGGGCCCAGGATAGGATAATAAAGTGTCATCTGAGATAGAGAAGTCAGAGTCTGTTCTGATTTCAAAGAGGAAACAGCATTTTTAAATGTGTTTCTGAGAAGAGAAGCCAAAGACATGAAGGCTGTTCTCAAGGCTCAGGGATCTTCCTCCCATAGCAGCATCTCTTCAGTCTCTCCCAGGCTGCAATATACTTGTAAGAAACAGTCGAGTGTGGAGAGTGAATGAGACTTTCATAAGGCAGAGCCTTTGCTGTGGGTCCCTGTGCTAAGGCCATAGAAGCCGAATGACCCCTAAGCAAGCTCTGACCACAGAGCTCCTGCTATGGAGAGGGGAGGCCTCTTGTTTGGTTTGTTTCACTGTGGTAGACAACACACTGATTTACCAGCCCAACTGCAACTAGTCAGCCCTACTCCCGAACCACCTCCTGCATGCTTAGTCTCCATTGTAAGCTATAAAATTCAACATAGAACAAACACACACTAGCTTAAATGGGCCAGATGCCTTATAAAATACTGTGAACATTTCCCTTAATTTCTATAAATTCATATTTTTATAAATAATATTTTCTCACAAACATTACATTAAAAACAAAAACTTAGAAGTATGTAACCCTATTAGAGTGGTAAGTGACTGAGGTTAAGATTATTGGTGAGCATATTAGGTAATTGTGAAATTTTGAAATAGAATAATTTGTTGATGAACCCTGAAGTGGTTAATTATTTTACTCAGGGTTCTTGGTTTTTTTGTTTGTTTGTTTTTTAATTCAGCACCTAGAGGAACCATTACTTATTTGTCTAGCATGTACATATAAAATTATGCAGTCATTTTTAAAGCTCCTACCCCAATTATTTAATCAGTTTTTGATAATGAACTAAAAAATTCCCCTGGGAAGTGCAGCGTTAGCTGTAGAAAGGAAGACAGGATAAGATATTAGTTACATTTGATATGCATTTATTTGGATAGAGCTGATTTAATCTAGCTAGTCATGGATTACCATTATAATCAAATGAGAAAACACAGCTGGAATGCTAAGGAGTTTATCCCTATTTAATTCCTGATGACTTCTTGCACATTAATTTTTAAATTTTTTTTTGAGATTTTAATTACATTTCCCTCTTCCCTTTCTTTGCTCCAAATCCTCATATATACTCTTCACCTCCTTGTTCTCTTTCAAATTCATGGTCTCTTTTTCTTTAATTGTTGTTGTTGTTGGTGGTGGAGTGTGTGTGTGTGTGTGTGTGTGTGTGTGTGTGTGTGTGTGTGTATGTGTCTGCATATGTGTGTATGTGTTTTTAAACACACAATTACAACCTGCTCAGTCTGTATGTTACTTATATGTTTTCAGAGCTGACCATTTGATATTGGATAAGCAGTTGGTGTGCTCTACCCTGGAGAACACTACTTCTCACTCTCAGCATTTCTTAGTTGCCCATATTTTTTGTCTAGGGTTGAGGCCTCAGCTCCATGAGCTTTCTCCCTTGCACACCTTCTAGAAATGTACACCCATGATGTCTCATCAACATGGCTGCCTAAACATGACCTGTATAACACAAAAAGCCATGCCAATGTGCCTGTTAATTTCTGCCAGGCTCTTCTCTGCACACTAACCTTGTGTTTCTGCAACTAGCAGCTGAATTTCAGAGCAGTGTTTCTTGAAAATTGGAATAGCCTGACTCATGAGCCTGGGCTCACCCAGGCAATCTTTTGAGATATGGAGGCTGCCCATTTGTAGACTGACCTGTTTATTTCCTTTCCAGTCACTCCTTCAGCAGATCCCAACATGGTGCTCTACCTTCTGTAGGAAATCCTCGTGCCCTTCCTCTTCTGAGAGTAAGAGGGGAGAAAGGCTTCTGTTTTGGTTTGAATCCAAATAGTCCCATAGGCTCATGTGTTCAGATACTTGGTCTCCAGCTGGTAGCTGGGTCCTGTAGGAGGTAGAATCTTGCTGGAGAAAGTGGGTCACGAGACATGCAGGTTGTGAGTTTTTATAGACCAGTTCCACTTCCATCCACTCTGTGCTTCCTGACTGCACACACTGTGTGTGTGTGTGTGTGTGTGTGTGTGTGTGTGTGTGTGTATCTCAGGTTCCTGCTACCATACCTTCCCTGCCATGCATTTTGAAAATGGTTTTTAAATGAATTTTAGATGCTCGTGGGGACCTTCACAAGACTGAACTCCGAAGAACATTAAATTTGTGAGGAATGATAGGACATGTGGCTACATGGGCAAGAATAGTCCATTCTAGAGATTGACTGAGATACGCATAGGAAGGTGTGGGGATGTAGAAGCCAGTGGAGTAAGGGCTACTTCATAGAGTTTGTTCAGGGTCATTGCAGCTCATTATAGCATGCAGTGGTCATGGCCATTTTCTAGCCACTTGTGGGAAGACAGGCCAAGCAGCCTTCCTGTGGTTATAGTGCCTCACTATATAATCACTCAACCTGAGATTATCAAATGCATTGCTGTATTTTGAGATGGGATGTCTTTAATTCCTTCATGGGATTCTTTATGACTCATGGTATCATCTCTTTCTTTTAAATGTCCAAGTGGAAACCAGGTGATTTGAAATTAAGCGCCATGTTTTCAGTATTTTATTTTTTTAAAAGACACCCTCTAGTGACTCAGCAATTCTACTGCTAGTTGCTTGAGAGAAATGAAAACAAAACTCCAAGAAGACGAAATGCAGATGTCCTTAGTTTTACTCATAAGTGTTAGAAATACAAACAAGTCCTGCAGCCAGCAGCCGGGGAGGCATCCTTGGATGTGAAAAGTAGCATCTCCCAAAACAGAAAATGTGGATATTCTATACTCTGTGGATGTGGATAAACACTATTCTAAGTGAAGACACCTCACACTAGAGAATTTAGAAAGAAAGGCTCATTTTCATCAACGTTAAACCCCAAGGAAACAACTCTCCAAACGAAAAGGTTTCAATTTTGAGCAATACAAAATGATAATTTCAGTCCATGACACCTGTGAAGACCAGGTTGGCCCCTGTGGTGTCCAAAGAAAAAGAAAATTTGATTCTTTTCCCCTTAATTAAGACAGAGAAATCTATGTAGATTATGGAAGAAGAGCCCATTGTCAGTT